CTGTGTTTGTATCACATCTCCTCTTACTCATCTTTTTTATGGTAGCGATTCACTGTCTTTGCTATTCCAGAGCCTTAATTATGCTTGCTGTCCTCTGAATCTCCTCTAATTTTGCAGTAAGCTTTCAGAAATCATTCTGTCTTCAGTTCTCTGGTTCCTATTTTCCTGTCTTGTATATTTAGCTTCAGGCTGCTCAAGGTATTGTTGCAATGGAAGCCTCTAAAATTGTGATTTTAAGTAGTATCTGGTAAAATATGCCCAGGGTTCTTCCAAGGGAGGTCCTATAGAAATGCTTAGTATTAATCTATTAATCTGTCTGTACTCTGGACAAGATATAAATAGCATTCGTTACAGTATGAGGAGAAAACGTAGGAGAGTTCTGTGAGGGGAACAGCTAGCTGAGTTCAGCACTATAGCTGTGCTTACGAGGAAGATGATCTCTGGGTTTTGCTACACAAAAACAGGCTGCCTTTTTTTTTGCCTTTACCACATATCATGGTGGATGCATGCAGTCTGTTTATTGCAGTGGGAAGAACCAAAGCTGAAATATGGACTGCGAAGAGGTAGGCTCAGAAAATGTCTTTCCTCCTCTGTATATTTGGGTTTGGGGGGAGTAAGTTAATACAACTTTCTATACACTCCTCAGTGGTCTGAGTAACAAACCTGAAAGTGCAGCATACCAGTCAGGTTATTTTTCCAACTTCTGATCACTAGAGGAGGAAACTTATTTTTTTTCTTTTGTGTTTTGCAAAGTAGGGGAAGAAAATTGAGCTGTAGTTCCAGCTGCAGTACCACCTGACTTCTGAAGATGCATCACTTGTTACTGAGCTTCCCTTTTTTGTCTAGTAGTGCATATTCTGACTTGAGTAAGCATTACATTTAATGGGGTACAAAGAAGGGACTCGGGTACAGACTTCCCCTTTTTTCATTTATGTGAATGCTAAATGTCTTGCAGTGCTATAAGCCTTAATCAAGTGTGACACCTTAATGTGGTTGGTTGGATTTGCCTAGAGCCAGTTCACCCATACCTAGACAACTAGTTTTATCTAGAGACATTACCTTAAAAGGTAAGTTTGTTAATTTGCCAACCTTTCCCTTAGTTTTGAGGATCAGTAATGAGAAAATCCCTATTAACACTTCTACAGAGGATAGCATTTATGAGGCCTGGGTTAGGCTTTATGACTGCAGAAGCTTATCTGCCCTGAGACAGATTCAAATCTATATCCAATCTTGTCAGTCTTCAAAGGCACCCTCACATGACTGTGAGGAGTTGCTGAAGTCTGCTGGGGTGTGTAGTCATATGTCTGTCTGCCACATGCCATGCCAGATTAAACCTGCTGCATATAGGGCTGGCTGCAGTCATTGTCTGCTAAATTCACAACGTATAAGGGTCTCACATTACTGGGAGGAAGGTTACAATTCAGTTTGCAGGCAGGAATGCTTTTTACACCTGTTGCTTTCCAAGCCAGACTTTAATGGCTGATGCCACTCTGTCTCAGAGGTGGGTTTCAAATTATCTCATCCTACTGATTTTCTAAAGCCAGGTTTTAGAAAAATGCATTTACCACAGTGCTAATTTAGATCCTGCATCTGAGAGTGTAGAAAGTTTGATAAATTTCAGGCTCTTTGGAAATACACTTGTTAAGATGTCTGCAAATCACCTACTTTGAGCTCTGGTGGTGTTTTTATTAAATGTGATACATACGTTGAAGTCTGGTGCTTTTCGGGTAGAAGCTGCTTCCTTAGACTGAGCAGTGCATTCTGCTGGGTCACTGCTTGCAAGTCACAGAAAATGGAGCTCACAAAGATAGATTATCTGAAAAAGAAAAATGGTTTATTTTACAGTGACTGCAGCTCTTTGGATATGGTGCACGTATATATTTGGGTAGCCTCACTTCTGGACTTACTTCCTTCTCAACTTACAAAGAGTCGGGGCTTTAATACTGTACGGTGCTTGTTCAGTGTTGTAACAGCTTTCGGGTGCCTGCCATGCAATTCCCATGCATCATCTAAGTTCTTTCAGTTCTAAGCTGTTGCCGTTTACTGTAGCAGAATACAGTTTTCAGACAGCGAGCATCTTTCAGATATCACATGTCTGAACATTCCTGGTTATAACATTGATGTTCTGGGCTGGCAAAGAAAGGGAGTGGTAGTTGCTCCCTTCCTATTCTTGAGGGAATCAGGAAGACACTTAACTCTCTGTATTCTTGAAACAATCTCAGCAAATAATTTTCTTCCTAAAATTGGCAAGAAAGATGCATCTAGTTTTCTTGATGTTCTACGGGAGAGAATGGAAAAAGGTGCTCCCACCTGTCCTGTAGGGCAGACTTGAAAACAATGCTGTGTGAAGCACATTGATAATAATAATTTTTAAGGAATTCCAGACCTTACAGAGGTAAGTTCTTTTCTCTGTTTCCTTTCAGAACCTAAAATGGTCTCTGGATGTATGAAAAACAGTGAGGAAGAACGTAAACTTTACTTTTAAAATAATATATTCCATCTTTCTACATGAATTGATATGAAACTGATATAATTCATATCATACCTTTCCCTGAGGCTTCTCTTTTTTCCTTCTCTTACCAGAAGGGTCGTTTCTGCACAGGCAGAAAACAGCAAAGCAACAGTGCGGGAAGGAATGAACCCTGGGCTTACCTTCTGTAAAGCTAGGGGTCATCAGAGAGCTTTTGGAGACATTCCTCTCATCTCTGCCAGTAGTGTATGTAGAAGATAGAGAACAGATGGGACGACATCCAGCTTAGGATATGCAGGTGGAAGGAAGTAAAGAACTGAGCTGCCTTGGAGAAAAACTAGCAAAGAAAAAGCCTTAGGAGCACATCCTGTTCTGTCCGCATGCATGTCATGTTTACACGTGTGAGCACATAGGCATATGTCTGGATTTAAAGCTTCCTAGTTGTCGGGCTTACATTGTTTTATTTTAGTAGCTGTTATCCAGTCTAATAGATGTGTTTCTCTACATTTTAAATTGATAGCCACAGGCTCATTCATTTCATGTCCATGTATGTACTTAAGTGCATGAAGGCACTTACACCTGTCTACTCTTTTCAAGGGGTCTTTTGGGGATGTGGATCTTAGGGTTTTACAGTCTCCCATCAGTCCCTCACATAAATGTGATCCCCTGCAGGACTTCTGGGGATGCTTCCAGCCCTGAGTCGATAATGGCTGTTCTGATTACAGTGATATAAGATTGCATGGTTTTGTACAAAAACCTGCAAGGGAGTGTTGCAGTTTCTTAAGATCTCTCTTAACAGGAGACTAGTATAGCTCATGAAATATATGGTAGCCATAGTTTCAATTTATACTTGGAAACAAATTTTCTGAAGAAAAATTTAAATAACTTTGTAGACCCAAACCACAGTGGAATTCTAAGGTAATCCCCTAAAGTATTGTGGAGTTGCTATGGAAACATGCAGGTGCTCAGACTGATACTGTTGAATAAAATAATTTTATAATTATCTGGGGAAAAAATTATTATTCTTCTCCATGTAACTACTGTATGTATTGTCATAACTAAAGACAAAACAAAGAGGGAACAGCTCTACAACAGTTTTTACGATTTGGGGTTTCTGCCCCACAATACTTTTCAGGTCTTCCTGCTAGAAGGAGTGAAAGCATTTCTGAAAAGCATAGTCTTAATAACTATGCTAGATCTGTGCTGCTTCTAGAGAGAATTGGAGTCTCGTGGGCACAGAGGTACTTCTGCTATATTGACTTTAAACAAACTGAATTTATTGTTGATGGCAAGTATTTACAAAGGCTATAGGTGTATGCTCACAGTTTGCAGCAGCTTACATTTGCATTTTGTACTGAGGGCTGTGAGGCATGCAGGGAGGATGTTCCACAGCAGTGCCTGCTCTTCAGTATTGAGGCTTTAGTCCTAGCTATGCAGTCCTGCATTCAGGAGGTTGTTCAGAGACTCAAGAACAGCAATATGTCTTAAAATACCAGACAAGATTTCTGGGGAAACGTAGAGACTGTGAAGTAATAATTACAAAACACAGGAAAGGCATAGATATGCAAAGGAACTTAAACACTTCGCTCCCCTTGAGAATTAAGGGTGTTGTAGTGGTGGCTTATTGCAGCTTCTTTCATTCCAGGCCAAATCATTAGTTATTCTAGTTTGCCTGGAAAATCTGCCCTCTGTGCAACTGTATTTCTATATAATTTCTACTTCTATTCAGGGCCATTTCCTAGTCTGGCACACAGTACTGGGTGGTGAGCTATGCTGTTCCCACAGTGGGATACAATCCTAGCCTGACAGTTTTTAAAAAACACAACAAAATGGACTGGGGGTATGAAGAAAACAACCTCCTCTGAGGATATTCCTGTGGCCTCAAGGTAAGGCAGCAGTAGAGCTTGGGATGGAAACTGATTCTCTTTACAAGCCAGCATTACCATACACTATCTATGAAGAGGAGGTGGATATCTATCACATAGGCATGTTACCATAACCTATCATAAGGTGATACAATCTAAGTATCTTTTTTTAGCTTCAGTCTACATGGGACTAAATAGGAGTTGCAGACACACTCTCCTCTTCCCAGGAAGATGCACTGTGTACTCTGGGGGGGTGTTTATCCCCTCTCCACTACATGGGTGTTCTAACTCCGAAATGTAATTACGGAATTTCAGCCCAGCTTCTGTGTGTTCTGAAAACCTATTGTAACATTTTTCTGTAGGGGGTGGTTGTACTGTACATCAAAAGGAGTTACTCATTTTATGTTTTTCTCACTGTTCTCTAAAGGCACGTCTCCCAGGAGCCCTGTAAATTATTGATGTGAAAAAGTGCAGACTCAGGAGGCGGAGCCTCCCGTGGTTGGCCGGTGCGGAGGCCGGGCTCGGAGAGTTCCGGGCCGTTCCTCTGCCGGAGCTGAGGAAGAGGCAACTTATTCACCGGTAAGAGGCTTTCCCACCTTCGGCGTCGTTGTCTGCTCAGCCTCGGCTCGGCTGTGCGCGCGCTGGTGCTGGGAGCATTGGTATGGACTCTGAGAGCGGATCCGCCGTGTGGGAAAGGCGCTGTGTTGGCACTAGGTGCTCGGTTTGGAGGAGGACCCGAATTTGCATTCAGTTAGTGAACTGAAAAGAGATGCACCAGAGGTAGGACTGTACGCAAGATGTGCTGGTCACGACGTGTTCCCAAACGAATCGTGAAGTTTCACGGTAGACTGAGAAATACCCCGAATTCCTTCATGCTTCCCGGAGCTAGCTGGCAGATAGAGTAATGCTCGAGTTGTTCTGACCTGTAGCGCTTTAACTTTTCCTCTTTTGAGTATGCTGGAAGTGCATGCAACGCTTGTAACTTGCCAACGCAAAATCAGTTTGTTTAAAGCTGCAGTGCAAGAGGGCACGCAGCTTGGGCTCTGCACTTGGCGAAGGGCTTGTGTACTAATAAGCACAGCGAATTCGTGAAATAACTCAGCAGCATAAACATAGAAGGGACAATTTAGGTAGAACTTGAGTGGAGGTGGAAAGAAATCTTGGAAGGAAGATGGGCGTGGAAGAGGAGAGCTGCCCTGACAGTAACACTTCAGCTGAAGCGGCAGCAATCTTTATGAACTTTTGGTGCTGAAATTAGTTCTGGAGTAGCGTCAGATGAGGCTGAGGTTGAGCCAGTAATAGTTAAAAATTTTCAGAAAAAATAAGTTTTCTTTGAAAAAATGCTTATTTATCAAGCCTAAGATGTTTTCTTTGAAAACCATTAATGCTGATGAATTCCCTCTGATGCAGAGTTCTGCCCAGGGTTGCTGGTTGCAAGGGTCCTGGCTCAAGAGTATGCCCAGCACCCAGAGTAATATCTGCTGAGGGGTGTTGGCAGCTTATCAGCTGTGGCCCAAACTGTTTGTTGCCAAATTCCCCTGAGCACCCCTATAGCTACTCAGAGAGTGTGAGACAAACATTTCCCAGGATTTAATTTCACTATGGTTGCTGAAACTAATAGGACTGCTGAAGTCTGAACAACTGCCTCTTTGCTGGGGACTTCGTGTGACTGTGTGAACTTAAAAAATTCATAATTCACCAAATATTTGTTGTTATGGTATTGGGTTTGTTGTTGTTGTTCTGTTTTTTTAACTTTGCTTTCCACTAGCCCTAGTCAGCATTTTTACTTATGGAGGTAAACGAGGTGAAAAGTGACTTTCTGGTTTGGGGTGTCACATTGAAAGAAAGGCTGCAACCCTTTTATGCCTTAGTGTATGGATATGTGGCCAGAATTGGTTGAGATGTCCAGACAAGGCAGCTGTGATTCTAGTGTTAGAAAATTCACCTGTTCCCTGGCTGGTTTTGACTAGTCTTAAGTATTATGAGGATAGATTAATTCAGCACACCAGATGAGCTTTCTATATTTTCAGGATGAATTAAAAAAAACCAAACTGTTATTTTAGGCCTAACCTTTTGGACTAGCAACTCTCCTGTGTTCAAGGGTGAAAGGACTGAATCTTCCCAGCTGCTGAGTCTGTCACTTTCTGCAACGTACCAAAGTCTCTTCTCTGCCAGCCTGATTTCCTTATTGCTCATCCAAACACTGGTATTAGTAGGGGAGGCAGATCATAGCAGGAGTGTGGCAGCTCCCAGTAGTAATGCTGCTCGAGGAAGGGGTGAGAGGAGGTTCTTACAAGTCCTGAATTGATTCTGCTGCCTAAGAAGAAGGAGTGTCCTGCTGTGGGTCTTTCCTGCCATGCACCTCAAAAGCAGTCAGCCCTAATGTGATGGATAGCCAGCTTCACAAATGGTAAAGAATAGAATGAGCATGGCCATTTACCAGGAAAAATGAAAACAGAAATGAAACTTCCTTTTTTTGTTACTTACTTTATTTTTTGTTTTGCTCTGATCCTGCCCTTCTGACACCCCCCCCACACACACACCCCCGACACCCCCAAAATATAAGGAATGCTTGATCCCATAGAAGCATCTTAACTAGAATTCTGTAAGAGGCTGTAGCTGGGCTACTTTAAAAAATGAACAGGCTCTGAAGGAAGGATCTTGCAGGAGCCCTGAACATCATTGTGCTTGGACTGTGTCTGTATGTGGCAGACAGTGAATAACAAAGCTGTAAAAGGGTCTTAAGAATGGAAAATTTCAAGTCTGGGAAAAACTTCACTTGTAGGGCATAAAGTATTAGCGGGGAAATCTTCCTGGAAAACAAGCTATCTAGTTCCTTCCTGCTCAGGTTCTTTCTGTGGAGTGTCTAGTCCTAGCTCCTGCAGGAACTGTGAACCATGTAAACCACACATCTAATTCACTGTATTAATTTCCATAGTGAGATAGAACTCGTGCAGGGTTTACTGTGAATTCTGATTTGCTGACTTCTGCACTGACTGCAAAGATCTGGTGGCAGCTTGCTTTGGCATAGCAGAGCTGGCATTAAACTTGCTGGGTGGGATTTGTTCATTGTGAAGTTTCACGGCATCAGGTCCTTGAAACCCTCTTCACAAAGTTAAGGCCAGTTTTATTAGTTCTGTTGTCTGGCTTTTAATGAAAACGCCACTTGTCCAAAGAACTCATCGTTTCCAAAATAGACTCTTTTTCAGTGCTTCCTACAGTATTTTTGTGGGTCTTTTTTCAAGATGTCTAACCACAGTCATATGGAGCATTAAAAAAATAACAGGTTACATTGTGTTTATTGATTGTGTGTTAGGTAAATGGATAAGAGCCCTTGAAGCACAGTCTTTTTGCAATTAAAAATGTGCTTTAAGAGCTGTGTTATTCTTAAATGTAACTCATCACCAGACAGTTCACAAACAGCAACAGTTATCTCGACCATTAGCAGTTTCTAGTGCTTGCAGTTTCTTTCCCCAGGGACCAGGTTGGTGTTTATTATATGCCCATCTGGTTATCGGGTTTGGGCCATTTTAAACGAAAGATATATGTAAATAACAGTTGAACTTCTCTTTTAAAATAGGCATCTCGCTGGAGTTCACCTTTGGTACCTGCTAGGCAAGTAGGGGAGCTTGATAGCATATATTGAATTTAACCAGAGACCTGGCAGAATGTCCTGGTCGATTTAACTCAACTGAAAAGAGTGTTGGAAATTTTGATGCCATGATATGTCTAATACGTGGAAAATACTAACAGAGTGTAGAAATTGTGGCTGAGATTTTTCCATAGTTTGATGAAATCAAGTCAACTAGTAGATGAACACTTTATCCCTGGAGACTCTTTAAAGATGCCAGTTGTAAACGTTGCAGAATATGTGGCCAAAAATATATAGAATATAAATACTGTATATTTTGGGGTAGGTAAATCCTATGTATCAGTTAGGTATGCCTTGATATTTGCCCCTTAAAACTTCTGTGTGTCCTTCAGAAGGCATCAGGAGGACAAAATACAGGTTACCAGTCCTATCTGCAGGTGAGGCTGGTCACGAACAACTGCACCAGAGTTTCTCCTTGTGAAAACAAGCACTGGATTTAGGAATGTCATTTAACGGGTGACTGAAAACTGCTAAGGATGAATTTGTCTCTCAGTTTGGTTGCGGCTTCAGTAAGATCATGAGTTTACACATCATCAAGGATAAGAGTTTCATTACAAGGAATAAAAATATTCCCAGCTGTTTTTCCCTGAGCAGGTAGCTTGACTCTGTCATGTTCTTGACTCTCTCATGTTCTGGGCACAGGATGAAAAACATTTGTCTTTGATTCAAAGGGTCAGTTGGATAAGACGGAGGGGAAAGAAAGAAAAATAGAAGGATCTAGGGTGACAAACCAAAAAATAAGAAAAAAAAAAGTAAAAGAAAAGGAAAAAAAACAACTTGCACCCCTAATTTTAAAAAAGCATACAACTCCTTGGTGCCTCTTCCTCTCAAATGTACTTTATTTTTAAAATGCCTTTCAGTTCTTCTTTATTCTGTGTACTGATCCTGCAAGGAAAAGTATCTGTAGAAAAAAAACCAACACTTCCTAATAAACAGATAGGCTTCCCCTGGGTCTGATCTGCTGATTCTAATGACCAGAATAATTTGTCACTCAGACTTACTTACTGCTAATAACTCTGTGCCAGCAGTGCAGCTTGAGGGGGAGGGGGGATGTGCTTCTGGTCTTGTTGCCAGAGCTGGGCTTTAAGTTCCTCTTTCTTGTTACACAAGAATTTGTGTGGGAATGGCAGTGTGCATCCACATATTGCCGTGACTCCTGGCACCAAAGGTTACTGACTTCTAGACATGGCTTTTGGGTGAATTTTGCCTGTAGAAAATCATTTGAACTGAACAGAAAGCAATAGACTCTCTGTGTACGACCTGCCCTATACTACTAATTAAGTACTGAGGAAGTATTCAGTTCAAATCTTGGTACCCTGAGTGCTTATCCTGGCAGCAGGGCTGAACCTGGCTTTTACCTTGCTGGGAGAGGGAAGGTGATGTCACGGGGATTATTAGTGGCAGCTCCTCCTCTCCCATTTGCTGCAGGGTTTATAAAAGGGACGCCTTTGTTTCATTTCAGTTCATTCATAATGACCTCTTAAGGCATCTCTTGGTGGAAGAGCCTCCTTCAAAAATAAAGGGGTCTGTAGCAAGACAAAGTGCCTTTTCTGCTTATTTATATTTGCTTTCACTGTCACTGGCTTCTCATGTCATCCAGGACAGAGGATTAATCTCTCTGATCCCTCTATTTCTAGTTGTAAAAGCGCAGTGTACTCTTGAGGGTGATTCACTACTAGGCCAATCCTTGTTATAATCTCTTGTAACTACGAATGCATCAGAAGAGGAAGGCTAATGGAAAAATGTGACATGTTACTGTATGTGTACATATTTACATCTTTTCTGTGTTTGTATATATATATTTATGGGAAGACTGATGGATTGAAATACAGGGAGCGATGCAATACAGGGCTCTGCCATGTTTTCATAGCACGGGCCACATTATATCAAGAAATTCTTGCATATGTCTCCTCTTCCCCTATTTGAGTGTGTTTTTGTCTGCTTCTCGCCTGTTTCCCATGGCCTCCTTCAGCAAACCACTCTTAAGGGACTTGCACTTAACATGATGAACTCTGCTACAGTAGATAGAAAGTGAAAGTTGGCAGTGACTTTTCTGTTCTTAATAAGCCTGGTGAAGTCTGACATATAAGAGCAGTGTGAAGAGCAGTAGGTAGTAGTTTACTGTAGG